CCAAAATTCAGGAATAAAGCAGCATTACGCAATTTTTACCAAGACTAAACCCGTTATAATTATAATCCAGGTAGAAAGGTCCTATATTATGCAAAATTGACTCTCGTAAACTTCAAGACATGTTAGAATGCTGTTACTCCATCAAAAACATGCCTGGAGTTGTATTTTGTTTAATTTACAAATGTTTGAGTAACCCTTTTTTATTAATTAAATTAATTTACATCTCCAAAAGCTCAAAATACTCTGTTTCACCTGTGATGAAGCGGTATGTTTGAAGTTAACAGCTACCTTTTACCTTTTGCTCAGTAGAGATGAGCAATTCTAGGGCTGAAATTATCCATATGATTCTAGTGAAGATGTATGGCGTTTATAAACACAGTGAAGCACTTCCTGTATTACCACATGGTATCACACAATGTTTTCTGTTTCAGAGAACAACTCGCTCTAAATATGCAGGGTTTGTATGTTAAACGTGTGTGGATAAAACAAAACACAATTACAGATATGATTTTGATAAAGAAACAGAACTATAACATTGAACAGAAAATACTGTACAGACAGAGAGGAGGCCAGTGTTAATAACCAAACAGTAGTACTATCACATCTTCACAGGCTGGATAAGAACGATTTGAGAGAACACGTTCAAGTGAAGCAGAGCTAAAGCACCAATCTCATCCTCCTCTGAAAGACTCTGGGACGCAGACTTTTACTTTTATCAGGTCATTAATAAACCATTATCACTGGAGTCAACTAGGGAGAGGAAAAAGAACACATGCAAAACTTTTTTTTAGAGGTTTAGAAATGTTATGGTTGGGTATGATGTAATGTGGCAAAAAGAATATTTGTAGGCCTATGAAATAAATAAATAAAGACTGCTGTTTTAGTCAAAAACAAAACAATTACATTGTTTCAAAGTTAGGGTTTAGGACCTCTAATTACCTCCGCCAAGGAGGTTATGTTTTTGCCGGCGTTTGTCTGTTTGTTTGTGTCTGTTAGCAACATAACTCAAAAAAGTTATGGACCGATTTTGATTAAATTTTCAGGATTTGTTGGAAATGTGAAAAGGAAGAACTGATTTCATTTTGGGAGTGATCTGGAAGAAATCCTGGATTCTGGATCACTTTGAAATTTTAGTTAACATTGTGGTAAATGGGGCCAAAACTTTTGTTTCTCAATATCTCGGTTAATTATTGACCAAACCCCATGAAATTTGACTCAGGGATGGACAATGGGATCCTCTTTCATATTCCAAAGGCTGATCCGGATCTGATCCAGAAGACTGATTTTATCGCAATTTATATAAAAAATGGGGGTAGTCCTTGGCGGAGGTCTGCGCTCTCTGAGTGCTTTTCTAGTTATTTAAAGGTACACTGTGTAACTTTTCTGTTGGAGTGAGGATATGATACCAGTTTGTCACCATAGAGCTGTAATTGCGTTGTCTCGATTAGAATATGGCACTACAGTGTTTAACTGATAACACCACCAAGCCAAGTTACAGGGCAGATCTGTGGAGAGTTGACCCAACTCCTTATATGAATGCATGTTTTTCAAGATACTTCTTGGTCAATAAAAACACCTGTAATTAAATATATGCAAAATATATTGTTTACTGCCATACTGTACATTCAAAAAACATAAAAAAGTTACATAATGCACCTTTAAGCCTAGATCACAGTAATGAACATACACTGGCCACTGAGAATGTATGAAGGTTTATTACAACTCCATCCTGTTTGTAGGTTATCTATTTATTTACAAGTTTACAACAGCTGAGGGACTGTTATGAGGTAAAAATTGTGGTTTGTATCACAATAAACAGTTTTCTGACAATATGTGAATAGACATAATTTTGTATTTTCTTTTAGACCCTTCTAAAATGCAGGTTTAGAAAGAAAGTAAATATTTCTTTTTCTGAATATAATCAAACAAAGTAGAACTCTAGATGCTTTGGAGGGTTACTTTCTATCCCAAGAATATGTGGGCTTTAAATTAATTTATGGTAGCCATGTTAATAACATAATCATGCACTTTTATATTCCGTCAAATTAGAGATTACAATTCACTCTTAGGCAAAGCAGCCTTTTCATAATTTCATGTTTCAGGTAATTGAACCAACAACATTACTGCAGATACTGACCACTCCTAGATAAAATGATTTCATTATTTTGTGCTAGTTCTTTGGCCAAGTCCTCCTTTCCTCTCAATTTAACTGTCTACTTATATCCTAGGTGCACAGTAGTCAAACATCCAGTATATAAAAATTACAACTTAGTTGCAGAGGAAAGAAAGCCTGATTTAGTTGCCAGTTCCTCACAGCAATTTTCTCTAATCAACTTATTATTCAGTTGCCTTCGCTTCCGTGCCAACTGTTCTACCACCTTTTTTTTTTTTTTTTTTTAGTTTCCCAGATTTCTTTGACCCTAAACTTTAAACTTTTCTTATCCTCTCAAATCACAATTTTACCATAGTGACAATAAAATTTACCTTGACACGCACACTGTACACATATTTGTTTACTAAAAATAACTTTGATTGTGCATAAATGGGAGAACTGTCACGCATAGAGGGGGGTTGCTAAATCCCTGCTAAAGCTCTATTGAAATTCGGCCTGGGAGTGCGCAGCCTGTCGCGTGTTATTGCCTTTTTGCCTTCTGTCGCTGGCAGCCTGCATTCGATTTCCTAGTACTTTTCTTTGCGATAATGATAACACCATAACGCCGTATTATAGCTATCTGTGTGCAAACAAAGGGAGGTAATTATATAAGCACCATAGGGTGTGTATTATGGAATATATAGGCTATTGGATGTGGTCAGCTCATCTCTCTTTTCTCTCTCTTTTAATTTATTATATCCAAGATAAATGCTCTTTACCCTATGCATCACATACTAAAAGCAGCTAAATGAGATGTAATATATAAGCTTAATCTATGCATGTTACAAAACATTTTGTTGTATATTTGTAAACACAGAATCTACTGACAGATCACTCTTTTTAGCATTGGACATTCCATCAAGCACACTGTTCACTAAGAATCATGGGAAACAACTGGCTGACACTATCCCAGAGACTTGCTTCCTGGTCATGAGGCATTTTGGTGAGTCAGAAAAAGCTTAAAGTAGGTGGAGATTGAAGAACTATATGCAAACATCCCAGACAGTTGTTTCTGTGTCAGTTATTTGCATTTTCTGGATAATAATAACTAATACTTACAGCTAATATTAGATGGCCCTCAAACTCTTAAGATGTGTGTGTTTTTTATGTTTTGATCCAGATATAGATACTGGATTGTTCATTCATCTACTGACAATGTGTTATGTAACTAAAACTCACTACACAGTTGTTGTTTGGAGGACTCTTTACAGAATTGGTTTGTAGTTTGAATCATGTGGGATTATATTCTCTCCATGTCTGGGCGGGTTTCTGTGCGGTGCTCTGGATTCCCCCATCAACCTCAAACATTCACATTATAATTCTTCATGTATAGGTACTCCTGATTATGTTACTGTATTAAATGTATCTATCAAGTGGTTATTTCAGTATGGGTGCTTTAAACTATTCAAAAATACATAAATGCACAAATTACATAGTGCACCCTTATACAATGACAGAAAATTATTAAGATAAATGGAGATTTCTGGGGCTATAGCATCTATATGAAACAAATGCACCAATTATTTGTCATTTCAGATTACATCACTACAGCCTATAGGGATTTAATAAACCAGAAAGATAATTAACAAAATATAACCCATAGGACATTTAACTTTTCTGCAAGTTTGCTGACCTATATCCTTCCTAATATCTTTTTGCATTACAGAGTAGTTTCATAAGATCATCTGCTGAATTAGTGTCAACAAAAAGTGCCATTGTGACCTACATGCCAAGACACTGAAGTCAAGAAATGGCATTTCAGTGAATCCGTTCTACTCATGGATTATTTACTGCTAGCAAATGCACTGTGCAGGCTTATGTGTTTTTGTATGGGATATATATATATATATAGTTGTGTACTTAAAAACACACAGTTGAGAGTGGCAGTGGTGGTGACTGTCATCCTCTGTGCCTCCAAACCCACAGCTTTTGACTTGAGTGATGAATTTTAAATGAAATGTTACTTTACTGGCTTCAAATAGCAACTGCATATGAAAAAGTAATGGCTACTAAAGGATTTGTCATTCACAGCAAGGCCTAGATTTGTCATAATACCAGTTATTATAAGGGACACATAATTTAAAATCCTGTAGTCTAGAAACAAATTAAATATAGCAATGTAGCATTTCTTTAACTGGAATATCATGACCTATTACTGGAGGCAGTGTAACTGCAGACAGTGACTATGTTAGATACTGCCTAGTGCTGTGGGCGTCAGAGGAGCAGGTGAGTTCACATTACAGTCCAGAAAGTACGCTGCATGTTAACAAATGGATTTTGACAGCAATAATGCCTGCAAGCTCAACAATACTCTTACTACAGAGTAGGTACATGTGGCCAAATGGGTTAGGGAAAAACACTTCGGCCAATATAGTCTAACTGAATGGGCAAAACTAAAAGCATTTGAAGCAACTTTGGTGGGACACATAATTATCCAAGGCAATGAATTATTTTGATTTGCTTAACCTGGATTTATATGATCAACTTATTTCCAGTTTACCACTAATAATCATGTCGGTAGGCGGCATTACCCTCTGAGGAGTGACAAAGTGGATATTAGCCAAACCAAATTACTAGGCAATAGTTATAGACTAACAGCTAAGGAATTGTATTAGTACGTAAAATGTCCTAAATTCGCTTTTTATTTTGCTTTATTCACTTTCGCGCTGCAAAAAACTGAGTTCAACTTGGTACAGTTGCAGTACAATGCAGTCTCTAAAGAGCCTGCTGCTAACCGCTGTGTGATCAGAGCGAGCCTGAGGAAGCGCCCGTGGCAGTGGAGTGAGTGAAGCGCCTCCTCTCTCCATCCTTTTACGCCGAACCAGAACCATTCATCTCTCCCCTCCTTCAGGCTTCACATCCGGGTCATCCGCCAGTATCTGTCTCTTGCATTTGTGAGAGCCTGACAGTGTGAAAATTTCTCGCTTCGCAGCCGAGCTGTACCGCAGCCCATCGGCCGACTCCGCGGCTCGCCGAGCGGACACTGCGCCTGGCGTGCACCGCTGATGATGGAGCCACGGGCGATGTGAGGCTGCACGCACAAAGGCAGGGAAATGACACGGTAGGAGGACTGTTGTATGGGCCAGCCCGCGGAGATAAACTCGCCCTAACGATGTCTAAAAGCCTCAAAAAGAAAAACCACTGGACCAACAAAGTCCACGAAGCTGTGATAAGCCGGGGGAAGGAAGGGGAGCTGGGCTTCGAGCTAAAGGGAGGCGCGGAAAACGGCCAGTTCCCCTTCTTCGGCGAGGTGAAGCAGGGGAAGGGGTTCATCCAGAGCGGCAAACTGGCCCAGGATGAGCTGCTGCTGGAGGTCAACGACATGCCAGTGGCCGGGCTGACCACCCGGGACGTGCTGGCCGTGATCAAGCACTGCAAAGACCCGGTTCGTTTCAAATGTGTCAAGCAAGGTGAGCTACGTCCGACAGCCGTGAGAGCGCAGCTGAGAGGCGGGGAGGAAAGCGTGTGTGAATGCGTGTGCGTTTGATTAACATGTCATGTGTGTAGTGGTCTGCCACTTAAAGGTTAGGGGGACAACGTGTTTGTGTTCTTCTGGCCTATTAGTGCTAATGATAGGCTCCCCCTGTGTAATGAAGATGAGCGTGTGATGTCGCAGACACCGGGCCGAGTAGCCGTTTGTTTACCGCGGCGTTGCTGCTCCACTGGCCGCAGCCTTGAGGGGGTGTGTCCGCCTAGACATCACGCCACTACCCGCTGTTTACTCCTGAGGAGGGAAGTCTACTAACCAGGCCATGTTTTTCACTAGACTCAGACAGACGAGCTTTACACAACACTTACTGTCCTCACAGCATTAAAACATCCCACAGTCGCTCGCTGTAGCCTATGTAAATGTTGTCATACTCCCGTTATTACAGTCTAATAGGTTAATGAGACTTTGGTGGGAAAGCATCCAGCGTGTGATGCGCATCTAATTACGGTAAATCACCTATCTAACATGTTTTCCCGCCTTCTTTAACATCCAGGCTGCACGTTTTTGAAGATGTCATATGTGAACATCTCCATATGGGCCAAGAGGATTGTGAAGTTTTTGTAGGTGATAGCTGTCTTCAGTATTTAGTTTTTGCAATGAAAATGTAAATATACACATTTACATGTGTTTTATTACATGCACATTCCTTTACCATTGTATAAGACCTAAATAGCTTACCAATTATACAGTGGTAAGTTATGTCTATTGTGGCCCATTTTGGGGACAAAATGGGATAAAAACATTGACTGAAATCTTTTTGCAACAACTGTCTATCTTCGCTCATGTCAGAGTATTTATGTTGGAGATGTTGCCTGTGGTATGCTAAAGCAACACCAGAACACTACATTTGTGTGTTAACTGAGTGACCTGCTTCTGTCAGACAGTATATAAGCACAACGGGTCTATATACAACAAGAAGATTCAATCGAGAGACAGGCGCTGCAGATAGTCATCATTACTCTCTCCCCATCCGCACTTAAAGTTCTAATAACCCTCCACAGCAATGAGATCTCAAGCGTGAAATGAGCATTATAGTGGCTCGTGACACTAAATTCCAAGTCTTAACTCTCTAGAACAGTGCTCAAACTTTTGCACCATGTATTTTTGCAGTGTTCTTCATTGAGTTAAATGGTCTACTCTAAATCTCGACAAAACGGGACTAAACTAGTTCTGAACTAAACCTAAAGCACCCCTAAACCTGCACTACTACAGATGATTCTAAACCTGGTCCACAGCAGCATCAGATCTAGGCAAAAAGATATGGAACTGTTTTGCTATCCAGTGTAAAATATCTGTTTATTTTTGAAAATAAGCAAAAGTTGAAATGAAAGAGTTAAAATTATTATAATTCTGACATAGTATTTGTAATAAGCTGCACTTTCATAATGGATTAAAATATCTTAGAGTTATTGTTATAATCTCCAAAATATGAGGAATAAAACTGATCAAAACTATGACTTATGTAGTACTAAACCAGGACTTAGCCAAGACTTAACTAGAACTAACTAGTAATAAACCAGGACCCAACTACCCCACATTTTATGAACATTATAGATCTCTTTGAATGTAACGATAACATAGCATTTCTCTCCTGTGTTGTCTGTACTCAGTGAACAGGATTGATTATTGAGTTAGAGAGCTGCTGACAGTGATAGTGGCATGGATGGTGTGATGGTTAAATGCTAATGTTCTTCTTCTTATCCATATAAACATGAGTCTATGCCTGGCAATTGCGCACTGTTCTATCTTGCTCCATGAGACTGAACGTCAGCCTGCCTGCACGTCCTTGAGTACACAGCTTGTTGTCTTCTTTAAAAACTCTTTCTCTCCTCCGTCTCTCCTCTGTCTCTTTGTTCTTCTCTTTCGTATTTGACTTGAGATGAGAGGAGAGTTGGGTTGGGAGTATTTATGGCACAGACAGATGCTGACACACTCGCTGGGACCCGCTGAGGAATTGTCGAGAAGCAAAACCAGTCAGATATTGGAGATGGATGCCCTGTCTACTGTAGTGTGTGACTGGCCATGCATGCTAACAGGCAAAGATCTTAACGGGCTATTTTCAGGCGAGTAGGCGTGGAATAATATGAGATAGAATGTTAGCTCTCTATCAGGAGTTGTTTAAGAAGATATATTGAGCTAGAATAAATTTGAGAAATTTGCTTTGATCCCAGCTGGTAAAAGCATCAGCAGTTGTAGAGATTTAGAGATTTTTTACCAAGTAAACTGCCTAGATGCTGGCGGTGGAAAAGAGGAAGAGATGGAGAGGCTGAGAAGGCTAATGGTTCTGCTGCTGTGGTGAAAAGAAGACATGTTGATAAAAAGAACTGGAGAAAAGGAATAGAGAGAGTGCCTTTATGGGATGACTTGAGAGGCAGGTTGTGATTCCTGACTGAAAGTTTTTGTGAAAACATAGGAAAAGGTAGGGATGTCACGATTTCTAGTTTTAGTGTTGCTATTGTGAGAAGAAACATCACATTTTGATGACTGATGATGACTGACAATATTGGCCAGACAACAGACACATCCTTTTGGGTAATTCCTGTTATTGTTGTCATAATTTCTCAAGTGTAAAATCAGCTTTATGAAACTTCCTTAATGTAAGTAAGAAAAGTTAATGTTTGTAGTCTATTTTTTTATTTTTGAAATTACAATTTAACCCGAATAATTACAATTATTGATTTAACTAGCCATCTGTCATCCCTAAAAAGTAGGAAATACACGCATGTTTTGGTTTAATTTAGGTTTCATCAAATTATTAAATAAAATGCATTTACCCATTATAATGAAATCAACATTTTCAGCATCAATGGATTTTAACATCTGAAAGGTGATTACTAGGTGAATTTTGATTACGGATAAACAGGAATAAAATTGTTGCCACAGGGAATCAGTCATAGTGATTTGGCTTTCACTGTCTTATTGGAGTAAAATTGGTGTATCTTGCCCAGGGACACAACAACAGCAGGCATTTGACTGAGGTTTGAACAGACCCATTATGTTGCAAATGGTATACCATAACTTTTAAAGTTCACAATTCAACTGTATTCATAGGTTTACTGAATAAAACCTTTCTTCTTCTCACTTATTATTTTCCAAAGACAATGCCACACCTTCACACCGGTACACAGCCTTAAAGTGACAGCTGTTGGGATTGATTTGCTTGTAGCTATTTCTGAGGCACATGGGAAAAGTAATGGAAAAGCTGTTGTCTGTCAGGGTATGTCTGCGTGTTAGCCCTCCTACTGACTAGCTATTATCCAGGGTGCATTCTCACTAAAGCAGCTGGGATGGTCATATGGGAATTATCCAGAATGGGTTATTGTCTCAGATTGCTAAGTGATGATATCTAAATCTGATGATATGATATTATTACAATATTGTGGGGAAGTATGTTCGTGGTTGCAACAAATTCAAATTTTGTTTTCCATTTAAAGTTCCCTGTTATGCCTTTAGTGAAGTTTTTATTTTTAGGTCTTTTTCAAATAAGCATTCAAGTGTAGGGTATAGGGTTGTCAAAAGTATTGAAAAACAGATACTAATCAAGACTATAACTATCGAAACTAGGTTCTCATTTGACCAGGTATCAATTAAAAGTCATATTCACAGGACAGAAATAAACCTTTCCTGAATAGCTTTAAAATGGCCTTGAGCTGTAGCAAAACAAATATAAAAGCACATTAATTAGTATATGCCCATGGACCACTATGTTAAAAATCTTCTTTTATTGTCTAAAGAAGTGCTTTTCCATTATCATTGTGGGCTCTGAATCGGTATTGGTTTCAAAATCGAATTTGAAATTTTAGTATTGTGACAACACTAATGGAGTAGGGATGGGCGATGTGTCAAAGATTTACAATTTTCTTAACGCGTAGATCATGATTTATATACATACCATGTTTATAACATCTAAATATATCTGCTTCTTCAGTCAGAGAGTTCACAGTACTCTGTGATTCTTTAAGTTACCTGTCACTCTCAGAGCATGACAGACACTGATTATTAGGAATAGCATAGTGTTATTAAGAAATGACAACATTATTAATATATCAACACAGGGATTATTTTCACAGTGCAAGAAAACAAGGTATTTTATTACTAAGAGCTATATTAAAAGCACTATATGAGATTTTTACTGTATAAAAATATGAAAAACAACTTTAAACTTTTTCCTCACTTTCCTAACCCACTCCTAGCATCATAATTATTCACTGCTATTCAGTTTAAGTGCTTATTACAACATTTAGAGGCCAAAGCAGAGTTTTGCAATACAGCAAGAAGAACTAGCATTCTACCACATCAGCCCTACTTCCTGGAATGTTTTGAAATTAAATGGAGGCAGCAGACAGTGGTCTCATTTTGACCCTAAGGCTGGTGCTTTTACAGTATATCTGTATTGGGGCAAAACAGATTTTACTTTATTACATGGATGAAATCAGGCACAGCTTCCTTAATACCGTTTTGAGGCTTTGGCTATTGTAGTAACTCAATTATGCCAATATTCATAATTCACAAACTTGAAGGTGCATTGTGTAACATTTTTGGAACAGGGTCTGCCACCTGCTTGTCTCCATGGAGATGTTATTGCTTTGCCTAGAAAGTATGACATTAAATGTACTAAACACATCTATCCCCATGGAGATAACAAGACAAGTTATAGGTTGGATCTATGTAGTGGCAACCCTGCAGACAATACAAATGCATGTTTTCAAGGTATTTGTACTAATGTATAGTCGTAATTGAATTCATGCACAATAAGTAACTACTACTACTACTACTACTAGTAGTAGTAATAGTTTAAGCTTATTGGCATACTGCAAAAAGTTCTAGGCAAAACAACAACATCTCCATGGTGACCAGCAAGCGGCACAGCCCCACCAGAAAAGTTAAAACCATTATGTCCCTGAAAGATTAATCACAATC